TTAGATAAATAATAAAACATGCCTATATTACCAGTAGAGGGTGTTCGATCAATGAAATGACATGCGTACATCAGTGTTAGGGGTGCAAAATCAGTTACGATCAGACATGCCTATATTACCATTAGAGGGTGTTAGATCAATAATAAGACATGCCTATATTACCATTAAAGGGTGTTAGATCAATAATAAGACATGCCTATATTACCAGTAGATGCTGTTAGATCAATGAAATGACATACGTAGATCAGTGTTAGGGGTTGCTAAATCAGTTACGATCAGACATGCTTAGATTACCATTAGAGGGTGTTAGATCAATGGTATGACATGCCTATAATAACATTGGAGGGTTGTTAGATCAATGAAATGACATACGTAGATCAGTGTTTGGGATTGCTAAATCAATTATGATCAGACACGCCTAGATTACCTTTGGGGGGTGTTAGATCAATATTAGATCTGATCATAATTGATTTAGCAATCCCTAACACTGATCTACGCATGTCATTTCATTGATATAACACCCTCTACTGGTAATATAGGCATGTCTTATTATTGATGTAACACCCTCTAATGGTAATCTAGGCATGTCTGATCATAACTGATTTAGCAACCCCTATTCAACACTGATGTACGCATGTCATGTCATTGATATGGTAATCTAGGCATGTCTTATTATTGATCTAACACCCTCCAATTGTAATCTAGGCATGTCTCATCATAATTGATTTAGCAATCCCTATCACTGATCTACGTATGCCATGTCATTGATCTAACAACCCTCCAATGGTAATCTAGGCATGCGATATTATTGATCTAACACCCTCCAATTGTAATCTAGGCATGTCTTATTATTGATCTAACACCCTCTAATGCTAATCTAGGCATGTCTGATCATAATTGATTTAGCAACCCCAAACACTGATCTACGCACATCATTTCATTGATCTAACACCCGCTACTGGTAATATAGGCATGTCTTATTATTGATCTAACACCCTCTAATGGCAATCAAGGCATGTCTTATTATTGATCTAACACCCTCCAAAGGTAATCTAGGCGTGTCTGATCATAATTGATTTAGCAATCCCAAACACTGATCTACGTATGTCGCGTCATTTCATTGATCTAAAAACCCTCCAATGTTATTATAGGCATGTCATACCATTGATCTAACACCCTCTAATGGTAATCTAAGCATGTCTGATCGTAACTGATTTAGCAACCCCTAACACTGATCTACGTATGTCATTTCATTGATCTAACAGCATCTACTGGTAATATAGGCATGTCTTATTATTGATCTAACACCCTCTAATGGTAATATAGGCATGTCTTATTATTGATCTAACACCCTCTAATGGTAATATAGGCATGTTTGATCGTAACTGATTTTGCACCCCTAACACTGATGTACGCATGTCATTTCATTGATCGAACACACTCTACTGGTAATATAGGCATGTCTTATTATTTATCTAACACCCTCCATTGGTAATCTAGGCACGTCTGATCATAACAGATTTAGCAACCCCAAACGCTGATGTACGCATGTCATTTCACTGATCTAACACCCTCTACTGGTAATATGGGCATGTCTTATTATTGATATAACAACCTCTAATGGTAATCTAGGCATGTCTGATCATAACTGATTTAGCAACCCCTATTAAACACTGATGTACGCATGTCATGTCATTGATCTAACACCCTCCAATCATGATCAGATATGCCTAGATTACCATTGGAAGGTTGTTAGATCAACGATATGACATACATAGGACTACAATAACATTTTCGATAATACGTCATGAATACATTCTTGGTCTGGGACTCTGGGGGCCTTGCTCTCGTCAATCAAGACGGCAGGCGAGTGGCTCACGATTTATGAGAATGAAGCTCCCAGGCCAATAACGTACTCGTGATGTAATTATCGAAAATATGTATCAGTGGATGTTAGTGTATTGATGAAAACGTAGACCAGTGGTAGAGAGTATTTTAAGTAACGAAAGCTTTTTGTCATTGATATGAAATACCAAAATCAGCATAAATTAAAGAGTTCGTTTTGGATTAATAGATCATGGATATGACATTCCTAAATCAATGTGAAAGAATGTTAGATCATATATTAAATGCCTAGACAAATGTCAAAGTTTGCTAGATCACTATTACTATTAGGTCTTTCCAAAGTTTGAACTTTAGAAAATAGACAAGCGACTACAATAAAACGTATATTGTACAATTTTTTTACAGTGTATAGGAAAATCTATTTACATTACTTCTCCAAACTTAGCTACTTAACTAAGCAAGAGCTTTTTCAATGGCTTGCCTATTTCCTAGTGGAAGATTGTAACTTGTCTGGCCTAAGGTTTCAGTCAGTGTGAAATACATGGGACCATGCATTGTACGAATGTTTTTCCCCAGTAAAGTCACTTGTTTGGAATGCAGGAATTTGTAACCTTCAGTTAGTAGGACTAAGGTCCAACCAGTAATCTTTGTAAGTGGTCCTGTTTGCTGTATTTAAGTTGGGTTAGTGATAGCATAGAATAACCTTTCTTCTGCTTCAGTATAAACGGGCAAAATTAAAGGTTTTTCCTCCTGGCTGTGCTTCATGTTTTTGCCAACAGCCATGATTCGAGGTCATCTGATGAACTCTTGAACACTTGCTTCTTATCTTCACCTGTGAGCTTCCATGCTGCAGAAGCCAACTGCTTTTTCTCAATCAACATCATTCAAATCTTTGCACTCATCTAAAGGACATTATAAAAATAAGATTCTAGGTGATTCATCAATATTGTTCTGGGAATGGGAATTTGCGGAAACTTCCCAGGGGTGAAGTTTATGATATCCTCAAAATAAAAACAGATAAAAAAGTTGAGGTCACCAAGCTCATTCCGACGATTAGACAAGTGCAACATGCCAAATCCCCCCCATATGGCACAATCTTGACCCTTTTATGAGTTATATGAACAATTGCTCAACCTTTATTGAATCTTATTAACAAGGATCCTATATATTCATATACAAGAAAACACGGTTTAGCAAAACAAAAAGCATTGACGTGCATTGTCATGGTGGCAACAAAAAAGCACGGTCAGAGACCTTCTTAAAGAAATAAAACATGCAACATGATGTGGTTTAGTGTTAGTTGCACAGGAGCCCTAGCCAGAGTTCTATCATTTTTGAAGATATATTTCCTGAAGCACACAATATCAATGCAGAGTGATTTTCTCTTGGCTCTTACTCTTACTTTATCACTTTGTTATTAGATATGTAGCATAAAAGAGCAGAATACAAAACTGATGAATCACCACATGGTTATATTTCATGGCTGAATATTTGCATTTTATTGCTTCACCAAGACAATGTTAGTAAGCCTAGGGTGAACCACTGAACCAGGTAGAGCTTTTTGCTATCCGGCCAGAATATCCAGTCGGATATGTTTGATATATAAGCTAGGTTTGAGCTTTCAATTAATTTAAGGTAAAACAATGGTTTCAATTGACTATAAAATGGCTCGATTGTTTATACTATTTTGACTCAAACACATGGATATTTACACTTCATTATGTTGTTTAACAATAGTCAATCTTTTTATTCTAACATTTGCATGCTCTCTGTTTCATGACTGAAAGTGTCCGACTGTCTGGCAGCAGACAAAGTAACATATGACCATATGACTCAGTTCCAGCTGTAACTTTCTTCCAGTTCCGGGCAGATCCAGTTGCAGCCAGATCCAGTTCCAGCCGGAAGTTAAAAAAATGGTTTCTGGTGCACCCCTATAGGTCCAGCCTATGAAGGCGCTTGATCGTGTGTGCATGCCTATTAGCTCATTAAGCCTCAATGCGTCCCAGTGCACTCTACTTTTTTTGCTTGTCTAATGACAATGGGGAAGCTCTGCACTTTAAGGGGTTAGCCAAAAAATCTGACAATGTCTCTAGTTATTATGCACCTATCAATGTTAAGCCCCCGAGGGGGGGGGGGGAGTTCGGGCATATGTGGGGTATTTGATTATCAATTCCATCCCCACCCTGGGGATTTTGATTAGCATTTTGGCCCCCAGTTGGGGCAATTTGAACTGAGTGACTGTTATTAACATAGTATTTATTGCAATTTATTGCAAGATGGTGGGGGCATTTGACCAATATTTATTGCCCGACGGTGGGGGCATTTGATTGAAAATGTGCTCGAAAAATCAAATGCCCCACCTATGCCCGATCCCCCCCCCCCCTCTGGGGCTTAAAATCGATAGGTGCATTAAACCCATTGAGACGTAATGTGCCCCAGTGCCCCTACTTTTTTTTACTTGTCTAACGCCAGACAATTTCACTCATCAATGGGAAACATGCATGTTACAGTAAGTTCAGATTCTCAACTAGGCATGTAATAACAATATACGAAGTAGACTCTCGCTTAAGTAGGTGCATAGAAAATAGTGCCTTGAATGCACAGTAGCTGCACTATTGATCAAGTATCTTGGTTTTCATCCAAGTATGGCCTGATACTAGTTGATATTAGTATATTTTTGTATGTCATCTACGGTCTTTTATAGTAAATAGTCAACATTAACATCACTATGATATCTATATTTACCTTTTAATATAACTTGAGTCGTTGTTAAGCCAGTTTCTGCTACAGCGCTTTCGATCATTTCGCGATAATTTAGACCAACACCGACCATTCCACGGACGTAAAACCTTTCCAAAATATCTCTCAGGTTGTCGCTTATTCTAGTTCTCTTTCCTATCTCCATTTCATTGCACAGAATCGCAAATAGACTAGAAAATCTGCTAGAAATGTTTTCAAATATGGCAGCTCAAAGCTCGAGAAGAACGTGTGATAGAAAGACGATTGTGATTGGTTTATATATAATGATATGCGAAAGCTTCAGCGTCAGGTAGCGCAGGCGATAGTCTGGCACGGGTAATACCGAATATTCTCAATTGAGAACATATGGGTAATACCAATCTCGTACCCAGAGTATGCCCGTTCGCAGGTTAGGTGCTGGGCATGACTCTGGAGAAACGGAATACCGGATATCCAATTTTGGATATCCGGTTAGTTGTGCGCATGCTCATGCTCAAACCGCAACACTGAATTCGCGCGGGCGTCATTAGTTTCAATTAGAAATAAAATTGTAGAATTTGTCGAAAATTTGATACTTTTTACATTGAAATCAATTGAAAAAGATTTATTTTCTTGTGCTAAAAGTTACAGATTAAATATATATGCGGTGTATATAAACTAAGCATTTTTATGGATTTTATACGGTCAAGAAATGGTATCGAGAGACTTCGCAAGAAGGCCACTGACAGAGGTTTAGAGGATCTAGATTTATACTACATACTATTTAGTATTTAATAGATAGTTTTTATAATATTCAAATATCTAGAATGCTTGATGTGCCACTGTGGACCTGTGGCTGGTTAGCCTATTTTGTTTATTACAATTAAATAATATAATTGGTGCCTTGATGTATTGATACTTAAAATGAGTATGATTGTATGAAAATACTTCCCTCTGTTTAATTAACTCTGTATCACTCCTTTGATTTAACATTGTGCATTGCATTCATACAAACAGTTCCATGGTTATATGTATTTAATTGAGTCATAAAAACTTATGTTCACAATTATTGATGCTTTAAAATAAATTAAATGGAAAAAAATAATTAAATGGAATTATATGACACAGTGTTTGAACTTTGAAATGTTTTTGCTAATATTATCATGTAAACTATTGGGTTTAACAATTAACACAGGACAATGTCATCAGGTTTGGTGTCTGTCTGAAAGGTGGCAGGCAAGGCAGGGTGTTGCTAAAAATAAAATTGCCTATCCAAATACTGCGGGCACTGATTGGGAAATCTGCCATTATTGGCGTTATGGGGTAAGTTACATTACCCTGACCTCCTGACATTGCTGCATATCCCTGGGAGATGAATAATAACTTTCATGTGCTGATGTATGCCAGCAACAGGTGTATAGCCAAGTCAAGGTAACTAGTTACTATTCCCATTGATTATGTACTGTACGTTAACTATATAATGTTGCAGGCGGGATGTAAGATGCATGTGGGATGACCTGCTGCCACTATGGCATTGTTGTAGCTAGTGGTGTAGTGGAGGGGGGGGGGGGGTTCTGAGCCCTCCCCCTCTATATTTTTTTACATAATCTTAAATGAGAATGCTCTTTAGAATTGCATCTACAAAAAGTGGTACAGAAACCTTGAATTAATTACATACCCTTTTGAGACGCTCAGAATATTTTATATTACTAACGGCCATTGTTTTTAATAAGTCCCATGTCACAATTGTTAGAAAAAAAAACACAACAAAATTTCCAAAATATCATATTGCAAACACCCCCCCCCCCAAAAAAAAAAAGTTTAGGACACTTTTGGAGAACAGGGACGAAAGTGTGGGTGACACCCCCTGTCTCTATCTCATCGGGTTTACCCATACAATTTAGTCGGGCAAATTTTGAAAATATTTGAGTGTCTCAGATCATATGCTCAGATTGAAATAGTGGTAGGAAAAAGTGGTAGGAAAAAATGCTCCGCTCACCAACAATTTTGAAAAAAAATATTAATTAACGACTGGTCAAATGTTCGTTCCTCAGGAACGACATCGGAAACGCCCTTTTGGTCAGGCAAAACAAGTTACCCCTCAGCTGTAATACAGAAGTTTCGCCCCTGTTGGAGAGCCCCTCTTGTTAACATTCCAGAACTACACCACTGGTCGTAGCCATACCGGTATTGTTAGCATATATAATTTCAGCACATCAAAATTGTATGCTCTTACTGCAGTAGCAGCCACTTGGTGGGAATGCTGAATTTAGGTTGCCACAACATGAACACCTCATGGTGCTCTAAATCTCAGTTCTTTAAATATGGCCTCAAAATTCTGGCAATTTACAGCTTATTTTATTCCCAACCTATGCTTTCATGGATGACCGATGTTATATCATCCAAAGGCTTTCAGAAATGGGAGAGTGGTTTGCACCCTACACTGCTGTCCTGTTTATTTTCTGTTAAGCCCCAAGCTGGCCAAGCAGCTTATTTATTTCAGGCATGGAGTCTAGAAACTATAGCTTGTAATATCAATTTGAGAGGATGTGGAGGGCTTAAATTAACAGTAGATTTGTTATAAAATTATTACTTTCACGAATATTTCACTATAGTATGGCCTTGATGTATTTGTAACAGATCCATGGCTCACTGAATTTAATACTTTAATATATTTATACAGTTATATGAATTTTATGGCATACTCAAAAAGAGTCTTATATCCACACGCAAATTCTATGCTCGTATGTCCAAACGGCAAACACAGGTCCAGAACGACAAGCTAAAATCCCAACACTGGCGATCACTAGCGCAATTGAATTGAAGTAAATATTTTGTTACATCATATCGGTAATTTATATATAAACAAACAAAAAGTATTTGCCATAATACAAGATACAAAAGTGTACAGATCGTACGTATAAATCCTCAATCAGATTAAATGTAACAATTAACTTGTATTTGAAATCTTGCAAATAAATGTAATTTCGACTTTGTTTACGTCGTATTCGTGAATTTCCACGTGTAATTCCCGCACTTGAACACCAATTTCCGGTATCGGTGTTATTGATCTCACGCCAGCCAATGAAATTGATAATTTCATTCCGTTTCTCCAGAGTCATGCCCAGCACCTAACCTGCGAACGGGCATACTCTGGGTACGAGATTGAAGGCCTAGTGGATTTCCCAACAACAAGGCCAAAACTGCCCTGAAACTGCCCTGATTGCGAAATGCCCAATTGTTGCGTTCTCAAACAGAATTATTTGCAACTTAACAGCGAATTTAAACCGATACAGGTAAAATAAACTCATTTATAGTATAAACTTACTATTTTTATTTGTATACACGTCTAGAAAATCGGGTTTTTATCATAAAGTTCGAAGCAACACTATTCTTTAATATGTTGACAAGGTGTAGCGAAAGAACAAAATGAGTCAAAATATATACCAAAAGTAGAATCTTTCATGAAATTTTGTCTTATACACAAGTACATTAATATATATTTTCTCAATTTTGGCAAGAAGCAGTCTTGTGTTTGTAAAATATACAAACACATATGCAATTATAATTTATTAAATAAAACGGACACATATATTATTAGCCCGTACAGTACTGTATATAAAAACGTACATTGTTTACAAATGGTATATCCGTAATATTTGAACAATAATTTCAAATTCCTCATTCCCAAATATAGTTATTCAAAGCAAAACAGTAGATTGTCTTGCGAATAAAAGAATTATTATTTTGTGCTTTCGCTTCACCTTGTCAACATAATAATAGTGTTGCTTCAAACTTTATGATAAAAACCCCGATTTTCTAGACGTGTATACAAATAAAAACAGTAAGTTATACTATAAATGAGTTTATTTTACCTGTATCGGTTTAAATTCGCTGTTAAGTCGCAAATAATTCTGTTTGAGAACGCAACAATTGGGCATTTCGCAATCAGGGCAGTTTCAGGGCAGTTTTGGCCTTGTTGTTGGGAAATCCACTAGGCCTTCTATTTTTTCGCTTGCGTCAGGCTTGTATCCTTCCTCCGCCCCGCCCCCAAATCACCTAGCCCAGTCTTTTCATGTGAAAAAGCGCTGAATATTAAAAAAATATCAATAAAAATAGAAGGCCTAGGTCTAGGCTGG